AAACCCTTCTTTTCTTAAGCGGTTTTTGTCAGGTATCTTACCACAGTCAGAGGAAGCCTGACAAAGAGAGGTCTTCGTAACAGCAGGATGTCCCTGCAGGATCCAAACCCTTGATTCAAGCTTCTTTCTTTCCTGGCGATAAGAGAGCAGCCTCTCCTCATTCAAGCTTAACCCAGTGCATAATCCATAATTCATAGGCTAATATCTTAATGCCTTTGCTACAATATTCTTATGATGACATGTAGAAGTGTGGGTATATATAGCTTTGTATTTTCCCAATCCATATTATATCCTAAGAATTTCCAGTGTTCTTAAAAACTACACACACAACTTTTGATGTGTGATGCATTGTTTCCTGAACGAATCAACGTTATTGGAGCATCCCGTTGCTGTTAGATGTTTAATTTGCCAGAAATTAAAAAGAATTATAAACCAGCCTTGGCTTTGGCTACCTAAGTTTTGACAAAGGCAGAGAAAGCATGCAGTGGGAAACAGCCTGTTCAACAAATTGCGCTGGCAAAAGTGGGTATCCACCTGAGGAGGATAAAACTGGATGTGAACCTTTTGCCTTGTACAAAAATGCAAGACCTCAATTTAAAACCTAGAACACTGAGACTTCTAGAGAAAAACAGGGGGAGTACTGAAGACACTGGCATAGGCAGCAACTTCCTGAAGAGAATTCCAACAGCTTAGCCCGAGAGTCAACATATGGGACTACATGAAATTTAAGAGTTTCTGTAGAGCAAAAGAAATCATCAGCAGAGCAAACAGACAGCCCACAGAATGGAAGGAAGTCTTCACCTAAGAATGGGAATTAATAACCGGAATTTTACAACGATCTCAAAAAATCAGCACCAATAAAACAAAATACCAATCAAGAAATGAGCTAGCTGAAGCCGGGCGTTGGTGGCGCACGCCTTTAATACCAGCACTCGGGAGGCAGAGGCAGGCGGATCTCTGTGAGTTCGAGACCAGCCTGGACTACCAAGTGAGTTCCAGGATAGCCTCCAAAGCCACAGAGAAACCCTGACTCGAAAAACCAAAAAAAAAAAAGAAAAAAAAAGAAAAAAAAAAAGAAATGAGCTAGCTGAATGGTCAGTTTTCAGAAGAAGGAACACAAATGGCCAATAACTATTTCAAGTGTTCAATGCCAGCAGGGATATGTAAATTAAGGCCACTCTAAAATCATGCATCACCACTGTCATCAAGAAATCTGTCAGATGTTGGAGAGGATGTGGGGAAATAGGAACTCTTATTCTTGGCTGTGGGGAGTGCAGATTAATACGTCACTATGAAAACCAGTTTGGCGATTCCTCAAAAAGTTCAAGCAGAAATGCCATATGATCCATATACACCACGCCTGGGCGTACACCCAAAGGACTGTATATCCTACTGCAGAGACACTGCATGTCCATGTCCTATTGATGCTGTATTCACAACCGACAGAAAATGGAACCATCCTAAATCTCCATCAGTATGTGAAAAAACAGTGAAAATATGGCACATACACAAAATCAGTACTACTTGGCTATAAAGAAAACAAAAACCGAAATCCTGAAATTTTCAGGAAAAAGGAAGGACCTGGGAAATACGTTAAGCAAGATGATCCAAATTCAGAAGGAACCATGAGTTCTTCCTCATATATGGATCCTGGCATACGATGTAAACACGTGCGTGCACAGTCACCAGTGGGTATTGTAGTTTGAATGACAACTGTCCCCCACGGGCTCATGTATTTGAACACTTGCCCCCCCAGTCGGTGGCACTGTTGGGGGAGACGCAGCCTTGCCGGCTGACATACGTCACCACAGTTGAGCCTTGAGGGCCTGCACCCTCACCCCATTTCGTCTCTGCGCCCCCTGCTTCCCGCGTGCTGTTGGATGACCTCACAGGTTCCTGCTCCGGCTGCCCGCCGCTGCCTCTCCCCTTCCTCTGTGGATCGTCCCTCCGCAACCATAAGCGAACGTATGTTCTTTTATTTTTCTTCTATAAGTTGCTTTTGGTCATTATATTTATCAAGCAGGAAAGTGACGAATACAATCTAAAACTGAGATGGGAGAGACGACGAGGAAGGATGGAATGCAGACAAAGGGACATGAACGAAAATATAAAGCTGTCTTTTTTCTAGTTGCAGTTCCATCATAATTTTTTTTTCATACGCTATCAACTGTCTATTAAAGTACCCAGACCTATTCTTACATTTCATAGGATTCCCACACGTGTTGCTCCTTTGAGACAGCAATTGTGAAAGCTGAGCTTTCTTCGTAATTCTACTCGCCATTGGTGCAATAGGAACAAGGCAAGACTGGGCACTGAACACATTTGTTATACTGACCTACTTTGGACAAGGGATTAAAAGATATTTTGAGGTGAGGTATAGGCCTGGCCCAGCTGCCTTGAGAGGCATGCATCATAGACTTTTCAGGTTAGAGTCCACGGCTCCTAGGACACTATGTGCCTTTCAGTTACTGAGAAACCGAGGCCTTCCCTCAGGCAGTGAAGGGTTTGGGCGTGGTCAGTGCTGCTTCAGGGTTTGGGCGTGGTCCGTGAGGCAGGTCCGGGAGAGGGAGACCTCTCCCTACAAGGCCACTCTGTGTTTCTCCATATGTTCCCTTGGAAGTCAAGGAAGCATGGACGCTCGTCAGGACAACTGTTGTTAACATTGATCTTGTGTACCCTGTATAGCTTGAAAACATCGTTGCATCCTGGAAACTAAAACTGCATCGATCCTGGCAATTGTCATCGTATTCTGTTTCTGATAACAAGGGGATTAATAGTCTGATGGCTCTCAGTGAAAATTTTCACAACCTGAGACTTGCTGTTAGATTACTCTAACCCAAGCCTGGTTTAATTTCCTGCCAGGCATATCAGGAAACCTTGACCTTGTAAGTAATTACACAGTGAGAGACTCTGTAAACTGAAATTTCTTGATTTTTTTCCTTCTGCTTAAGATGATATTAAATTATTCTATTGTGGTATTTAATATGCAAGCATTTGGCTCTTCCGGTCTCTGGCCTCGGCGGCAGAAGCAAGATGACGAAAGGAACGTCATCCTTCGGAAAGCGTCGCAACAAGACGCACACGCTGTGCCGCCGCTGTGGCTCGAAGGCCTACCACCTTCAGACGTCCACCTGTGGCAAATGTGGCTACCCTGCCAAGCGCAAGAGAAAGTGTAATTGGAGTGCCAAGGCTAAGAGGCGAAACACTACCGGGACTGGACGGATGAGGCACCTAAAAATTGTCTATGGAAGATTCAGACATGGATTCCGTGAAGGGAAGACACCTAAACCCAAGAGGGCAGCTTTTGCAGCATCCAGTTCATCTTGAGGATTTCAGTCAGTCATAAAAATAAAATGTTCTGGTTTTGAAAACAAAAAAAAATATGCAAGCATTTGTTGTGCATAAAGTATGCTTTTGAAATAAAAAAACAAAACCACTAAACTACATTTGTGTTTGTATGTGTGCGGGCTCCTGGATGCCGTGGTGCGTATTGTGCATGTGGAGTGGAGTGGTTCAGGACAGCTTTCAAGAGTCAGTTCTCTCTTTCCACTCTGAAGGTTCTAAGTATGCTGCCCAGGTCACTAGGCTTAGCAGTTAACGCCTTTACCCACTGGTCCGTCTCACTGGCTAGCTACAGTGTTTACATGAGAAGACAGTACAGAGTCACACATCCCTAAAACTCTACACTCGCTATTGCCTGGGTGACTCTACAGCACACAAAGCTACTCGCTGTTTTAACCTGGCCTTATGTTTGTAAACACTGGGAGGGCCTCACACTTTTTTATTTTAGGTGAGCTGTGTGTACTATACGACTCCTTTGCAGAAGGGAATAGTCCACCTGAGGCGCACTTCTGGCTTTACAACACAGTGAATCTGGGCAAAGATGATTTTAGATCCTAGAAGATGCAGGGGTCGTGGAAGAGACAGGATGATGAAAGTAATAGGGTCTCCGGGGATGGGGGGAAAACGGGATATAAACTGAGAAAACCCAGGGAGACAGCATAGAGAAGCTGGCGCGAAGGGATGATTTAAAGCTGCCCCTGGCTCCCATCAGGTGTGCATGTGTGTCAGAATGGCATTACCACATTAGTTAGCATGACGTCAAAAATGTAGGAATAACCGTAAGTGAGGATTAAGGTAAGATACTAGGTACTAGGTAGTGGTAGCGAGTGTCTTTAATCCCAGCACTCAGGAGGCAGAGGCAGGCGGATCTCTGTAAGTTCGAGGCCAGGCTGGTCTACAGAGCGAGTTCTGGTATAGGCTCCAAAAGACAAGACAAAACAAAAATTGGTCAGAGGGAGGGAGGAATGGAAAAGCTGAAGACACTTGGGAGCGGGGCGGGGGGGCGGGGGGGAGTGGGGGAGGTGGGGGGAGCGGGGTGTGTGGGGGGGCAGGCAAGCTGAGCACCGAGGCCTGGTGTGTTCTCAGGATCTCAGGGTGTTATGAATAATTAAAGGGCGTGAGCCAGGCTGTGCTGGTTCACACCTTTAACCTCAGCACTCAGTAGGCAGAGGCAGGTGGATTTCTCTGAGTCCGAGATCAGCCTAGCTTGCAGAGGAAGTTCCAGAACAACCGGGGCTACACAGAGAAATTCCATCTAACAACAGCAACAAAAGAAAACGGAACAATTAAACGACGTCCCCAGGTCCTAGCAGCGTGGCCAGCGACTGCCTTGTTCTGGTTCTGCTGGCCTGTGCCGCTGGACTCACGCGGCAAATCTGAGCACGGCTGGAATGTTTGCTGCTCTTCTCCAGTGTCCATTATTACAGGGTCCCGGGGCACACTCCCCTCTCAGTGCCCCTGGCTGCTCAGAGACAGCTTAGTCTTCTGTCTCCGATAGACATACACTTTTTTTTTTTTGAGTAAGAGGAAGGCGATACTATCTCGCCTGAGAATCCAGAAAGAGCTCTTCATGCCCAACCTGTGGAGTAGGTGGGCAGCATGTGATCACAGGATCGAGGTATACCAACACCAGCCAGGCAGACACAGACCCAGAGATGTTTTGTCTAGTGGCATCAGGTTTATTTTACGGGAATGAGGAACCCAAGACTCTCCAAAAGGCCCTTGTGAGGCACAGAAGTAAAGGCAGGCACAGCTAAGGCAGACTCCTGCGTCAGCCCACAGGGCCAGCCATGGAAGCCAGCTTTGTCAAACAGAGAAATCGAAGTTTACTTCTGAAGGCAAACTTAAAGTCTGGCACATTGAGTTGTGGGTACAGGGCCCATCCACTTCTCTCCTAGATAAAGGAAATAGCATATGTCTATACTTGGTTCTCAGACACGTTAGCAGCAGGAGACGGTCCCAAAATGCCCTAGGCCATTCCAGGACCTGCGTGGCTTCAAGGTCTAGAAGGCTTCCTTCTCCCCTATGGGGAAGACTGTCTACCCCCATTTAACACTGACCAGCACCGACTGTGTGAGGCTCCCTTGTTGGAAATACCAGGAAGTTCTGTTGTTGTTCTTGTCATCTGATATAATGGGTGTTGGGCTGGGGTCAAAAGCTCAAGAGATTGGAAACCTGAACTTACCTAGCAGGTAAGCTAGCAACTCCATGCGATCGGAGCCAAATAGCATGTGGGTTTTACCATCCACGTGGGCAACGGTGACGGGCAGCCCAAAGGCCTAGAGGAAAACAGAGCAGGAAGGAAGGCGACAGAGCAGGCGCTCATTAGGCCGAGGTAGAGTATGTTCGGTGACACAGCGTTTGCAAGAGGCATCTTCTCTGCCAGCTGTGCCATAGCTCCTTACTTAAAAAAAAAATCCATCATCTACGTCCTTTCCTTCCTCGACTAGGCTTAGGGGAAGGAGGGAGCGGATGAGGTCTCCAGGGGATGGGGAGGACTCACAATGGGCTGAAGAGGAGCATGGGCACCCACGGTGACAACCCCTCTCTCCCTTCAGGCTGGGCCCAGGGGGCGGGGTATACATGGAGTTGCTCACCCCGTATTTGCAAGCTGCCTCAGTGGTCTCCTTGAGTTTGTCCTTCACCTGCGCTGTGTTTATTTTCTCCAGAAAGTTTTGGGCTTGCTCTGTGGCCATTCCTGCCTTCTGCGCAGCCTGGGGAGATGAGGAAGAGCGTACAGTTGTGTCAGGAGAAGGGAAGAGGGCGACTCTTGTCCCCTGACCTCAAGTTTTCCTGGAAAGACCTTTGCCCAACTGCAAGCAGCAGGGTGTTTATCCTAGTCAAGGCAGGCTGTCTCTTTTCCCCAAAGTGTTGAAATAACTGGGGAAGGCAAAGGCCAGACAGACGTCGGAGCCACAGAAACAGCACCAGAGGACGTCGCAGCGACCGGCGAGGCCCACATCTCTAGTCAGCGCACAGTAGCCAACGGCCATGCATCCACTTGCTTTACAGAGCTTGACAGCAGCAGAACTAAATGCCATCTGCTTGGCATTCAAGCCCAGAGTGCTTTCTTCCCTCTGCCCTGGAATTCCTAACCGTCTCAGGCTGGGTTCTGATGCTCGGAATGCAGTCATCGCTACGGCTACCCGCTTGGCTTCCAGAGAGTGAGCGGGATACCTGATTGGGGTGTCTCTTGAAGTTTAGGACTGGTGGCTTTTAACCTGGGGAGCTTTTTTAAAAAGTCCCAGTGTGAAGGCCATTCCCTAGATGATGACATCAGCCTTTCTGGGGGTGACACTGGGCACTCCCGGTGACATCCGTGTACAGCCCAAGTAGAGAAGCTACAGCTTGACCCATAAATCAATCTGACAGTTAAATGAAAGAGCTGTTGAGTAACAGGGGGAAAGGATAAGAGAAGTGGGCTATAGGAAGATTTGCTAAATGTTAAGTAAAAGCAGGCTAACATTGTGCACGCACACATACGTTTTTAGGAGCCAGATATAGACACTAGAGGACAACCTAGCCGTTCTTTGCATATCTAGCTTAGGGGTGATTTGATGTCTCCCGTGTCAAGAGAATAAGATCCAACTGTCATGCACATACAGGAGGAAAAGATCATTGTGAGTTTCTTGACTTTCATTCCAAAGAGCATCTGACCTTTAAAGCTCTCTCTGTCTGGCATGCACCCCCGTGTTTTGAGCCCTTTCCATTTATTTCCCGTCGAGCATCTGTTTAAGTCTCACTTGTCAGTTATTTCATCGTCTGCGTAAAGCCTCCCGCCTGGTAGCAGGCGTATAGTAGTGAAGTTTGTGTCAGGAGTCTCCGAGGCTTGTGTGTGTGGAAGGCTCCATCCTTCCCCATCTGGCCTTCCCAAACTGGTCCTCTCTTTCACACTGGCTTTGCTCATCCCTTTCATCAATTTCATTTTACCCAGGTAGACATTTTTTGTTGTTGTTGTCAAGTGTAGGGAGAGATCACCTACCCGCAGCATTGACAAAGCCCCCTAGGGGTGTGGTCACAGGTAAGTGGGAGAAGTCAGGGATAAAAGACTGACAGGAGTTGGGCTCTCCCTCTCTTGGGTCCCAGCTGAGGTTCGGAGACCACAGAGCACTGACTCAGTTCTCAGCTTCTCATGTAAGTTACTTCTATCTATCTTAATAAATACCCAGCTACCGTTTCCCGGCATCCTTTGTGTGACTCCTTTCAAGGCTTGATCTCAGGCCTCAGGCAGATTAAGCATGCACTCCTACAATTTAGCTACAAGAAAACGTAACATTCTTGAAAGGATCCTCTTAGTTCCAACTTCACGGTCATTTGTCCCCCTAGACACAAGACTTTTCTTTCTAAGCCACTAAGAACCTTTTATTTTTTTTCTCAGATTCCCTGCAACATTACTGGTGTGTGTGTGTGGGGGGAAGGGGGTCCAGTTCAGACACTCACAGCCAGGATGCTCTGGGACTCCGTGATATCTTCATCCTAAGGAAATGAGAACATTAGCAGGAAGAAGAGAGGGGGTATAACAGCAGGGTCCCATCTCTGGAAACTGCCCTGGGAAGGGTCATTAATGCCATCTAGCTACCAGACCCTTCCCTCCAGGACTCAGAGTCCATCCCTTACTCGAGACCAAGCACGCATCCACAGCTCTCTGGACACCTTCTCCAACATCTCTGGCTGCTCCATGCTCACAGCGGTGAGGAAGCGCATGGCATTTATAGTTCCTGTGGGGCACAGGCACACAGAGCTAGGATTCTTATTCCTTGCGTCCTGACAGAGGACCAGCGTAGCCTTACTTCTGACACCCCCCCACCCACTCCACCCCCGGTCTCAATCACTGGCTGTCTGTCTTCAATACCAGTCTCGCATCGCTGATATACTGTGCTGAGCCCTTATTTCTGTGCCCCGCCCGCCCTCCCCTTTCCGAGAACTGAAGCTGGGCTGATCTCCTATGAAAGACCCAACTGTTCTGTTCTCCATCTCTTCTGACACGCTTTATTTACTTAACTTATTTTGTCTCTATTTATTTCCTCTGGTACTGGAGTTATAGAGAGTTGGGAGCCACCGCCGTGGGTGCTGGGAATCAAATCCGGTCCTCAGGAAGGAAGGGCAGCCCGTGCTCCCAACCGCTGAGCCATTGCTCCAAACCTCTCCTTACCTTTCTTCAGAATCACACCGAAGAAATCCTTGGGCATACTGATGGGAACCTGGAATTGTTGCCCCAGGAGAGGAAGATCTTTGCTCATGTACAGGCCTTTTCGGGGAACCAGGGCTGGTGGTTTATTTCCTGGAGAGTCAGAGGGCCTCAGGCTTGGGGAACCCCTCCCGGGGAGAGGGCAGACTGCCGGCTTAGGAGGTTTGAGGTCTGTCTGCACGCTCCGTGTAGGACCGGCCCCTCAGACCACAGGAAAACAACCCTCCTTGCCTAGCTGGAGGGCTTCTCCCCGCTTACCGCTGTCATTCATGACCCCAGCGATCAACGTGGGACGCAGCTGCAGCTTGATGTTCCAGAGGTGTTGGTACCTGCACAGGACCTAGCCCGTAGAGATAAGAGAGGGAGCCTGTGTGTGACATCTGGAGAGGTCGGGTGGCTCACTCAAGTGGCCTTAGGCTGTCTCCTGGTTCTAAGTGCAGAGCAGGGACGACTACTCCACACTGAGCCGCTTGGTTTAAAAGGACAAAACTCCCAGTTCTTTGGAACGGATACCGGAATCCTCATTCTGGTGTGTGGGTCCCACCCCGAAGAGCAGGGGTTCTCAACCTGTGGGTAGTGATCCTTTGGCGGGAGAAAGTCAAACGACCCTTTCGCAGGAGTCACACATCAGAGATCCTGCACATCAGATATTTATATTATGATTCATAACAGTAGCAAAATCACATTTACCGAGTAGCAACGAAAATACTTTCGCGAGGGTCGCAGCGTTGGGAAGGTTGAGAACCACCGCTGTAGAGCATCCAGGCGCCCCTGACTTCCCCCAACCCCCTAAACTTGACTTGCGGCCTTGGAGTGGCCTCTGTTTTATTCCCAGGGCCCCGTGGGGGAGAGAATGTTTGACCTTAGGAAACCAGCACCCTACTCGGAGACACAGTCCGTTTAAAGGCACAAAGCGGACTTCGGCCGGGAACAGTCTGTGCTTGCCCTAAACCTGAGGGCAGCCCCAGCAATTTCTGCAGCCCGGTGCCCAGTGCAACGCCGGGCACTCGCCCTCAGGCCGCAGCCCTGGCGGCTTCCCCGTGTCACCTCAAATCCCAGCCAGGAGTAGGGGGACAGGACGTCGTAGAACAGTTCCAGGGTGCGCGGCGCCAGCCCCATAGTGCTGCGGAGGGCGAAAGCGAAGAGCACAGTGCCAGCGAGTTAAGCAGCCAGTTCCAGCCCCGGGAACTGCAGGTGGGACCGCTGAGGGCCCTAGTGCGCAGCCTCCGGGAGAGACCCCGCCCTGCGGGGGGCGGGTCCAGGGGGCGGGTCCAGGGGGTGTGTAGCCGGTCCACGAACGAGGGCGCCCTGCAGGGCCACAAGGGCCACAAGGGCGGAGTCTGATGCAAAAGGGGAAGGCAAGACCCAGCAGAGCCTCTCGGGTGTGTGAGACCTCTAGACGTCTCTGGAACTTTATCTCTCAAGCAAAGACGCAATGCTTAAGGATGACGAATTCGGAGGGATGCAAATATAACTATCACTTCTCGTCCGGTGCCTTGTATTTGAACACAAGTATTTCAGTATTACAGCACTTGATCTGATAACGGAGGTGACCACAGAAAAGGAGGTGGGTTGTGTGGACATACTTAGCAAAAGGATGATTTGCATCCCAAGAGAGAAGGCACAGGGCTTCATCAGCTATGATTATTTTACTTATTTTGGCTCTTTGAGACAGAGTCTCTCTTATGTAGCCTTGTCAACCCTGGAACTCCCTATGTAGACCAGGTTGGCCTTGAACTCACAGAGATTCCCCTGTCTCTACCTCCCACGTGATGGGATTAAAGGCGTGCAACACTGTGCCTGGCTCTACTGTCATTTATTATTGTGTGTTTGTGTATGTGTGCCCCAGCACGCATATAGGGGTCAGAATCTTTACTTGAGTGTCTAGAATTAAACCTAGGTGGCCAGGCTTGCACAGTCTGGAAGCAAGCACCTTTATTTGTTGAGCCTTCTCACCAGTCCTCCTGAGTTTGCCTCAAGCTGTTCTTGGGGCAAACAATCAATAACTTATTGTTTCGTTTCCATTTGCCAATGTTAGACCATGTTTACTGAGGGGAAGTAAAACCGTGGGAAGTGAAATTTAGATAAGGAAGATACTATTGTGGTCCAAACAGTGCTTCTGTCTCCATCTAGGGAGGCATATAGACAACGACAGCTTCCAGGATTTATGACAAGATAGTACAGCTTATAGAGTTAATACCTGATGTTTCAAGTACTTTGGTATGTCTGATCCTAAGGCCGCCGGGGGGAAAAAAGCAGCAAAACATTTAAAAATGGAGGACATTTTAATGTAATTCTGGAGACAGTGTTAGTAGGGCTAGGGGCCTCTCTGCTGCAGTGATTGTCAGGGAATTTTAATTTGCAAACAGGTGACAGCAAGCTGGGGTGTTATTTGCTACAGTGAAATGTAGCATCTTAAATCCCATTTAATTAAATTATTTTGAAAAGGATTTATTAGTTGTGAAGCACATAAAACATTTCACTTCTCATTTGTGCTCACAAGTAAACAATCACAAGCTATCTCAGTACAAAGAGCAAATCTCTCCCTTGCCTGGAAAATGCGAAGTTTAGACTGGAATGTCAGTGGTTAAGTGCTCTGGGTTCCAAGGTTTGTACTATTAAGATGTGGAAACATCCAGAGGTGGGGGCTTGGGGTTTTCAGGTCACTGGGGCTGCCATGGTAGGTTTCAGTCAACTTGGCACGCATGGGAAGAGGGGACCTCAATATTAAATAATTGCCTTCCTTGGACTGCAGGCCTGCATGGGCTGTATAACAAAGCTATCCCGAAGGGAGCCTGAGAGCAAGCCGTGTTCCAGAGACTCTGCTTCAGTTTCTGCCTTGAGCTCTTGCCCTTGGCGCCCTTTGATAATGGACTTATAACCTGTACACCGAAATAAAGCCTCTCCTTCACCAGGTTGCTTTCAGTCATGGTGTTTCTCATGCACCTGATTGGCCTAATAAAGAGCTGAATGGCCAATAGCGAGGCCAGAGAAAGGCTAGGGCGTGGCTGGCAGGCAGAGAGAATAAAGGGGAGGAGAAATCTGGGAGGAAAAGATGAAGGAACAAGAAAGGAAGAAGAGGATTGCTAGGGGCCAGCCACCCCAACTTCGCAGCCAGCCATCGAGCAAGAAGTGAAGAAAGGCATATATAATAGAGAAAGGTAAACGCCCACAGAAGCAAAGGACAATTAAGTTAAGAAAAGCTGGCGAGAAACAAGCCAAGCTAAGGCCTCTCGTTCCTAAGAAAGAGTAAGCCAACCTCCATGTCGTTTATTTAGGAGTTGGGTGGTCGTCCTCCCCAAACAGCAAAAGAATAAGAGGGAGAGACAATCAACTACAACCCTCCCCGCTCCATATTTCACGACCATTAGTTTGGGAAGCAATCAGTCAGTGTTGCTCACTCTCGAGGAGAGGGTTAAATACATTAAGCCCACCCACAGTGGGAAGAACGAGAATCTCAGGATTTACATTAAAGTCACTATTGCAATGAATGGGTACTTTGGGGCAGTGGTTCTCAGCCTTCCTAATGCTGCAACCCTTTAATACAGTTTTTTTTTTAATGTTGTGCTGACCCCCAACCATAAAATCATTTTTTGTTGCTACTTCATAACTGTAATTTTGCTACTGTTATGAATCATAATGTAAATATGTTTGAAGACAGAGGTTTGGCAAGGGGACCATAGGCTGAGAACCACTGTTTGGGGGGGTTTCGTCGAAGCCGTGCAGCTCCGTCATGGCTCATTAAACGTCTGCTACCAATTTTAGCATCCATCAGTTGCCTACAGCACTTAGGACTGCGGTGTTTAAATAGTGATTGTTTTGCTTCCCTGTTTCTTTTACATTTGTTAATGGGAATTCTTCTGAAACAAGAGTTGCCCCTTTCTTCCCATTTATCACTTATTTACCAAATATTTGTTCTTATCAGTATGAACTAATATTTACTTTAAACATAATGTAACTATTAACTATTAACCCGAGTTGCCATAGTCTCTCTTCATATATTACTGTTACTTGTTATTATTAAAAGTTTGGGCATTATAGACGGTATTGGGGGGAACAACAAAGACATGTTGACTTCTGGTCTATAGAGGCAGAGCAGTGGGTACAGTTCTTGCTGTTCGACTCTGTTGACCTAAATTTTGATCTTCAGAATACACACGATGCTGTTCTTAGTGACGTTCGCCTGCAATCCCAGGGTTCCCAAACAGGATTGGAAGTAGAGACAGGACACTCTTTGGAAGCTCCCTAGCTATTGATTATCAGGAAGCCTTGCTTATTTAAACATGGTGGAAGGCCAGAAGAAATCTCCTCATGTGAGGTGCCCACATTACTGCACACATCACACGCACACAGATTAAAAACATATTCACTTCTATAGTCCTTAATGTTTACACTGCTGAGAGCAGTACCTAGTGTTAAAAGACACCTTTAGACAACTAGGAGTACTTTTGATCAAAGAATGCTTCGGGCAGTACTGAGCGAGCATCAGGACAGTTCAAAGAACTCCACTCTGCAATGTGGGCAACCAGTATTTACAAAGAAAGTGATTAAGGTCTGGAAATAAGCCGGGTGTTGGTGGCGCACGCCTTTAATCCCAGCACTCAGGAGGCAGAGGCAGGCAGATCTCTGTGAGTTCGAGGCCAGCCTGGTCTACAGAGTGAGTTCCAGGACAGCCTCCAAAACAATACAGAGAAACCCTGTCTCGAAAAACAAACAAACAAAAAACAACAACAACAAAAAAGGTCTGGAAATAGCTGGTCACGGTGAGGAGCTGGATGATGTACTTGGGCATTATCTATATGGTTGAGTACCTGTGAATCATCGACCTGAGAGGCTTATATAATGGCATGGAATCCAGCTGCCTGTTGGGAAACTCAGACTCCTAAGTTAGGTCTCGGTTTATTTCTCTAATTCATTGGACTCCAACTCTTTTTAATAGAAGTTCAAGATACAGAGATAGTCTGCAGCTACTGGAGCCACTGGCTATGTACTTACTCAGTTGAACCGTAACTTTGACGAGAGCTGTGGAAACCAAGTGTCAAAGAAAATTATATAAAAGAGTCAAAGGGCACAGTAGAAGAACTAAATATAATCATAATCATTAGACATTGGAGGACGGGTCTACAAACCAGATTCTCATTAGACATTGGATTCTCATCTTCTGCATGTAACTCAGAGGCACTGCTTGTATTCGCAATCTCAATAAACACAGAGCTATAAATTAACCCTGGAACGCTTTACATAAGCTGCCTTTTCAATTTAGTACAAGATGGATTATTTAATAAATGATATTAGCCTGAGGGATTTTTAAATAAAATATAGTTGAAACATCAAACAACTAATGGTTTAAGAGAAATGAGCAAAGTACCTGAGATAGTTACAAGCAAGCATTTGATACATGTCTGGAATGACAGACCGCCTGGCCAACTGTAATAATACCAAATGGAGAAACCTTAAAAGACAGACACATTTGGTTGCATACAGTTAAAAAAATGTATGTCTGGCAAAATCTAGTGGGTGGAGAAAATGAGTAAATATAATCTGTGTTTGTTTCATACTGAAAAGTTGACTTTAGTTATCCTGGCGTAGAAAGAACTGAAGTTCAATGTATTAAATCAAAGGAAACAATGGGAAAATGTGTAAGTGAAAAGAATAAACTATTCAAGAAACGGACATTAGGCGGCTCTCAAATATAAAATAAAATCCTGCTTATAATACTTACAAAAATTTCTAGTTTAAGTTATACTACAATATTTTTTTTTTGGCTACATAACTGGCAGAAACCAAGATGTTTGATGACTCACTGTTGGCAGGGATTTGTGAGAAGCCATTTTCTTATGCACTAAGTGGGGGTGCGCTTTGGCAAAGCTTTCTAATTTACAAAAGCGTGGACCCTTTGACTCCAGTAACTTTGGGAGTTTATGATGAAACATGATGCATTATAATGCGGCACAGAGTTATTTATGTGTGCACTGATTATTTTTTGTCTGGGTGTGGTGGCGCATGCCTTTAATCTTCACCCTGGCGAGGCAGAGGGTGGTGGACCTCTGAGCACAAGGCCTGCTCAACAAAGGCCAGCCTGATCTTCCAGTGCAGCTAGGGCTACACAGAGAAACCCTATTTCAAGAACAAAAACATTTTTCCCTTTTATTTTTGTGTCTGTGTTGTAAAACATTTTTCCCTCTTATTTTTGTATCTGCGTTGTAAAACATTTTTCTCTCTTATTT